ATATGTGTACGCTTATGTCTATGCATGGGTGTTTGTGTGTGTATGTGTGTGTGTGTGTGTGTGTGTGTGTGTGTGTATGTGTGTGTGTGCGAGTGTGTGTGTGTGTACGTGTGTGTATGTGCATGTATGTGTGTGTGTGTGTTTGTGTGTGTGTGTGTGTGTGTGTGTGTGTTCGAGTGCATTTGAGCATTGTATGCACAGTGACCTTTAACCTAACAAGGTCTGTGTAACCCTCACCTCTCACCCATCCCCGACCCCCCGTTCCCACATCTACTTTTTGTGTCCTCAGCTGTGAGTGTGTGGGTTCTTGCTGCATCTCTCTTGGTCACGTGGTTCAAGACAAGGGAAATAACCGCTTAAGCTGGACACAGGCATAGGGCGATCTAATAATCTTGGCGCAGGTGTAGGGCGATCTAGAGAAAGGAGCTGGTTGTCCGGACGAATAGTGCTGAACTCGCACGCATGTAACAGATACATTGAACACATACAAACACACACACACATATACACACATACACATATTAACATAGACACACGTTAACACACACACAGACACCCAAATACTCTCACACACACATTCACGCGCGCTCACACACACACACACACACACACACACACACACACACACACACACACACACAAGGAACGCACACCTGTTCCCCACCTTTCCTTTCCTATGTCGATCTACAATTTCTACCCTTCCTCTGTCTTTATCGTATAGCTCGCCCACTTCATGGGCCGTTGAGGTTCAAATCTGTATTTGTTGGTTCCTTTGGAAAATTGCCCAACTGAATCGCTATCATTGGAAAACTAAAAATAAAATCTATGGTACCGTATAGGAAATGTAAGGAATTTTTCTTGAGTCTCACGCAATATTACTGACGAATACATACGTTTTGGATACCACTAAATATTCCGTAGTAAACTAGTGACAGTATAAGTTATGGACGTGACTAAATGACCTAATATACTAGTGATTACATACATTCCAGGAGGCACTAGCCTAAATACGATGAAATATACTGATGATGACATAAGTTCTGGTTGTCACTAAATATGACGTAATATAAAATATTGGCGATTTCAAAGTTGTGCGTGTCACTAGATATGATGTAATACAATGGTGATTACATACATACCGGGTGTCACTGTATGCCACGCTGTAAACGTAATATGCTGATGGTGACATTAGCTCTCTTTGTCCCTGAACTAGATGTTACAGACTGATAGTGACATTAACTTGGGTTGATATCCTGAGGAATATTAAAATGCAAATACCTGTGTGGAAACTTTGACTATTATTGTCGTCATAATTGCATAATTTACTGGCTGTGGGAAAGCTGCAAATGCCAGATATATATATATATATTTATACATATTATACATACAAATATTAATTAAGACTTCGACGTGCCTTTACTTATTTACTTATTAAAAAAAAATCTTTTCTGTCCTGTTGTGTCTCCAAGTGTCGAAGGTAGGTGCAAATTGTTGGACGTGGGTCGGCTGTATTGCTAATTGGATAGTCATGTTGTTCCATTGGATTGGAGGGTTTCTGTGACTCTGTGGATCCATCTTTTTCTCTTGGTCTGTCTTTTGCCTTAAAGAAATCGAATCTCATGTTGTGGACCTTTGATACTGGCTGTTGTGACCCCATTCTCATAAAGTGTTCAAATAACCTTATTTGTAGCCTGTTGTCTTTTTGTATATTTCCTGCTGGATTCAACGCTCACTTGTTGTCAGTCTGATGTCTTCGTGTCCTTGTCTGTCTCTTCTTGTGGTGTTTAGCGTCTTTCTTCTTTAATTTCGCATACTGTTATTTTACTTTGCTGCGCTTTGTTGAGGGTCCAGGTTTTGCACTGGTAGCAGAGGGGGCATGACAATAGTTCTGATGAGTGGTTTATTTGTATGCACTGGGATGTGCGAGAGAACAATATGTGTGATTCAGGTTGGGCGTCAGTACTTTTCCGTGTGTGTATATGGCATCGGTGACCTAATGATTAGGCTCTCGGACTCGCAATCGTTAGGTCGTGGGTTCGAATGTCGCCAGGGGCTCGACGTTGTGTCCTTGGTAAAAGCACGCACTCTATTCGCGTTTGCCTCACTACACCCAGATGGGAATGGGTACCAAGCTATAGTCAGAAAAAATGATCTTGTCAATTTGTCAGTTTTTGAGTTCGTGCAATCCGTAGCTTGCACTGTATGCTTCCCGGGAAGCCGAGATTATATCTGAGTGTTCTAGGGTCTGCGGGCGGTAAATAATAGTTGTTAAGCGCATAGAGCATACTGCATAGTGTGAACATGCATTGTATAAATGCGATTATCATCATTTTTATGATGTGTGTTTGTGAGTATGTATGTGTGTGTGTGTGTATATGTGTGAGTGTGTGTGTGTGTGTGTGTGAGAGAGAG